AGTGGCGACTCTGAAATAAATAAACAAATCCCGTTTCGATTGTCCTTTGATTGGAAAAACTCTTTCACCCCTCGCGGGGGCGGAAAAAGGACGTACATGTGTTGTCTTCCCTCGACACTGTTGGGGATTATTTTGATGGGATGGAAAATCTATCAGACTAGGACTTTAACTTTTATAGTGAATAACTATCATATAGGGATGTTATTATAGAGAGGTATGATTGGCGCAGAATATAGAAGAGAGATGCGTGAAACTTACATCTTCAACCATTAAATCAAGAACAGGTAAAGCAGGACCTTCTCGAAAATCAATCTTGTGAGCCACGCCAGCCTTTTGGATTACGGGCAACCCGATTTCGTAATTTTCCCTGTTAATATCCATTGCCAATATCTGCAGAATCAAATAAAAAAAAAAAGCAATTATTTCCTTAATTGTCCCTGGTTTTTCTTTTGTTCTCAAATCCGATTTTGCTCATTTAATAGTCCGAATCATATATTTGAAATGGTTTTTGTTGATATGTTTTGGTCATGATCCATAATAGGCAAAAGTGGCGTGCACGACTTATAATAACTTGTTTTGGTACGTGGTCGTTGAGGCGACAATATTAATCTAGTAAATAAAATGTTACATTAACTCGAATTATATAATATCACTAGCTCAAATTTAAGTGACCCCTAATTAAATAATTACTGATGTTTATTAGACATTAAGTAGTTTGATTTAAGTGCAACTTCAATTTGAGTAAAATCCTCCCCTTATTATAAGGATCACAGATCTGAAAATTTTCAAAAGTTGAATGAGGTTGTGCCTAAAGTCAAATATCCACTTGTCCTCATAGACTTTTCTGCTCTTATTTTTCTTCTACGTTTTTGTTTTATTTTATTTATATTGTGGGCAAGTCTTTTCAAGAGGATGCAGTATGTGAATATCTTAATTGATCATTATCCAAATGAATGTATATACCTTTCCATCATGGGGAAGAGCAAGAGCAGTAGCAAGGAGGGAGTAGCCAGTGTAAACACCGATTTCCATGGTGTTTTTAGCATTGATCAATTTCAATAGCATGCTCAAGAATTGTCCTTCATCCGCCGAAGTTGTCATTAGATTCCTGTTTCCAACAAATATGCATACTATTCAGTAACAAAAAAGAAAAGAAAAACTTTTACATGTACTATAATATAGTATATACTATGTTGCTCGGACTATCCGACAATATCGATGGATGAGTGCCTTTTTGAAGAACCCGACATGGATGCGGCAACTGTTTTAGAGATTCCGCACAACATAAGTTATATATATATATATATAATAAACTTACCATGGATGCTTAGCAGTCAATTCTCTGAGCTCTTTCATGGGTTCTGGCTCTCTTGGGTATACGCTGGTCTCAAGTATGTACTGTAACA